CATGACGATATAGATCGTGACCATGCTTTTGTAGAACGAACTAACTTTATACTTTGTAATGTGTCGAATTTTAAAGAAGTGCTGAATCCTAAAGTTGAATAAATTATGCATCAAATTTATCATAGTCAAATCAGAAAGGTTGCGTGAAGTTCGCTCTGATATTTCTTTATTTCATCTATGAAGCATAAACGGGCCTATGTTTAAGCAACAGTGGAATTGACCCAATCATCGTAACGGTATAATGGCAGAGAGTACATTGGAATTGCTGACTGTAACGGTTAGAATAGACTTTGTCAAAAAAATGAACATGAAAGTAAAGTTTATTGCATCATATTCTATGTTGTCAAAAACTGATGAAAGACATGATTATTTAGGGGAAAATTTAGAAACAGTTGCTTTTGATTGGTCAAAATTAATATTGTTATTATTTCACACGGTCACCGCAGGCTCGACAGAAAACGACGTTCAGCAGTTTTTTATTGCATATATCTAACCAACAATATGTCAGCATACCAAAACGCATGTTTGTAGCGTTTCCAGAGATGGCTCGGTATATGGAGTGTGTGAGGTTTCTTTTCGGCTAGGTGCTGAACAAGAACCCTCTAACGAAATTCATCTTTTCGTCTGGACTTAGAAACAAAAATATGTTGCACGTGCAAACCACAAGCTGTTGTTGATGGACATGGAACAAAACGCTGAAACCGGTCTAAGGATTTACCAGAAACACTTCACTACGTTTTACCCGGTTTGTTACTTTTTTTTTGTTTTAGCATCTAGACCTGTATGTACGGTGTGTGGTCTACATGTACTTTTATACACATGGAACTTGTGTCCCCGCTGGTAATCATGGCATTGTTTCCCCATCTCTTGCGGTCGTGGAAAAATCTCTATAGTGTCTGTTAAAAATGTAAAAGACCATAGACTACCCGGAACGATTCACAAATGACTTCGCGCCGGCACCCCGACAAAAGAGCTCACGACAAAAGACCGCCGACAAAAGAGCGCAAGGCAAAAGAGTGCCGACAGAAGAGAGATCATCAAAAGATCGCAAACTTTTATTGTATTGCAAATAATTTTAAAGAAGTCTAATTTAAGGTATTAAATGAAGTGTATAAAACAACATTGGAAACTTATTTCTGCAACAGATAAATTATATTAATATTAGTAATAAAATAATTTGATCCAAGAAGCCGTATTTTGAATTGCTTGAACTTTTTGTTGCATACACGGAGACGAACCAGACAAGTGAAATAAAATTGTCCAGTCCCGAAAGTATTAAGGGACACAAGTGTTTTAGTGGCATTAGCCGAAAGAAGATTGCCAATGGAGCTGATGTGTCTCAGCTTCATATTCAGTAGTGTATACATTCATTACATAATTGTGTAAAGACTGTGTAATATCTAGAGTCACACCTAGGTTTCGTGCTGACTGTAAATTTAATGTTGGTTTTGCTGATACTTATCGTGCGAGGTAAAGAATATAAATGATTACGTTTTTGCGTGGTGATCAGAATAGCGTCAGTTTTATCATTCATCTGCAGTTTGTTACATGTCTCCGCTGGCGTCACATCCGAAATGATTCTCTACGTTTGGATGGTAGCCTCAGCTTCAACTGGGCAGCTAGATCTGTATCTGTCATCAGCATACGATCGACACTTGAAAGCTGTGTCCTGCTGGCTAAGTAGGACTTGAACCATATTAAGTTTGTATCGTGAATACCAAATACATGATGGAGAATGTGAAGTAATATATCATGGTCTATTATGTCAAATATCTCAGACAAATTGAGGAGGGTGCGGACTGTAATCTTTCCACTATCCAAAGCAGAGATATTGTCACTAAATGTTCACAGAAGGGCAGTATTAGTACTATGACGAGGCTGATATGCAGACTGTACATTGGTAAAAAGACTAGTTGAATTCAAACTGTGATAGAATATCTTTCTCTAAGATATTTTTTTTAAAAAATGAATGAGAGGTTAGATACAAGACATGAGTCTCCAGAAATGAAATTCAGTTTCAAGGACTGGACATCCATCCGAAAGGGTATTTATCTGTCTTTGGTATTTTTTTTTTCATGTTTAGATTTATCATTACATCTAAGTAATTGCTTATAAACATAGTGATTAAGTTTCAGAATTACCGACAAGGTGTTGGATTGGCTGACCTGTGATGCTAACATCAGTGGTGATAACATGCTTCTTGTCGACGAATATTAGCGTCAGAACGGTGTTAACCAATCATCTTTATACGCCAAAAAATCAATCTTGTAAAGAGCCAGATAGAAATCAACAGTTGGGACCATTACCAATATCGACTCAAGGATAGGTTGGTTTTATAGCATTAACACGCGTAAATACTCGGTCACACAAGGTACAGCTAAGTAAAAAAAAACAACACTCGGGGATTGTTTCTAATACGACAAGGAGTTCACTGGCAAACCAAACACGGTTGCATTCCCCGTTGATTATGTTGCACCAACACTTACTCCACCAAGGATAGAAAAATCTCTGCTATTATGCAACAAGGACACCTTGGCAACGTGTAAAAGAATGGTTTAATTCGAACGCAATTGTCCCACTTTTCCTTGTCCAAACCTTCCCCGGCTGACAGCTGGTGTTAATACCTACCTTCTTTGTTTCCACTCTAGATTCAAAGCAGACCTTTCAGCTTTGTCAACAATGCACAGTTGGCCCCCAAAAGGTAAGATGAACCTGAATACAGACAATCGCTAAAGCGCATTGGATATTTCTGAGCCCAGAATTTCACCCAGTAGACTCTTAATGGTGTCTGTGTAGTAGATATTGGGAATATGAGTCTGTACAATATGATCTTGTCAAACAGTGTTATTTGAAATTTGCTTTTGAAGATGTTTGTGGTGAAAGACAAAATATTTTGTTACCTTTGGGTTTTTTCTTCAATGTATTCGGTCTGCTGACTGTTGAAACTCAACTTAATGACTTAGATGAAATTACTGACATGTTACAACATAATTACAAAGAAGACAAAATACCCTCTTCCTTCACCCAAAAAACCCCCAGACGTCTGCAACGTTCGGGGAGGGGAGTATATACGTTTTGATTATGAATTCTTTGTGTAAATGTGCTGATGTTCTTTACACTTTGGATCAAGATTAAAAATATGGAAATAACTGGTAGTGATCCTCTGATTGTTGGATGAGTGAGTGTGTGTTCTATACACACACGCACGCAAGCACGCACGCACGCACATACATACATACATACATACATACATACATACATACATACATATTATAATATATATATATATATATATATATATATATATAGAGAGAGAGAGAGAGAGAGAGAGAGAGAGAGAGAGAGAGAGAGAGAGAGAGAGAGAGAGAGAGAGAGAGAGAGAGAGAATTAAATGCTACATTTTTATATTTTTTCGCTGGTGATTTTAATGCCAGAACTGTAATAATGTTTTTTTAATATAAAGCATATAAATTATTCAATCTTGATTAATAATGCAATCAACTACATAGAGGCAGGGCCGGAGTAAGGCCTTTAAGGGCCCTAAGCACTGAAAATAGTATAGAGGGGAAAAATATTAAAAGCTAAAAAGGTGGGAAAACACCAGTGTTGCCATCATTCCAATTCAAAATACCATTAATACTGGCCGCCATGAATAGCCTATCGTGTACTGAAAAATGGCGTTAAGCCCAACAACAACAACAACAAAATACTTTTACATACAGATCGAAATGGTCTTATATAAGTCATTCAATATTATCAGCAACAATTGATTTGAATTTTTTTCTAGTGCCCCTGTTTAAATGGCGCTCTAAGCACGTACATTGTGTGCTTAATTGGTAATTCGGCAGTGCATAGAGGGGACCGACAGTCCAGACTGATATGTCATACACCGGGCCCGATACTCACCAGACAGCAAGAGAACTTGGTAGTGCATACCTACGCATTTAGTTAATTTATTGTAGGAATAATGTGTGTGTGTGTGTGTTGTGTGTGTGTGTGTGTGTGTGTGTGTGTGTGTGTGTGTGTGTGTGTGTGTGTGTGTGTACAACACACACTCACTCATCCAACAATCAGAGGATCACTACCAGTTATTTCCATATTTTTAATCTTGATCCAAAAGGGTTCATATGTATATTTGCAATGGGTTTAGAGAGAAGAATTTGAAAATGCACATTCGGGGAAAGAATCCTAACTGGTTATGTAGAAACTACTTTACGTGGCTTCCAACTGTTACAAAAATTTGAAGTGCTTGATTGTGCAATCCTTTGTTTTTATACATTTCATGTGCTTTACTATACCAAATTAGACGTACTGTACTTGATGATTCTATCACAAAAAAGAACGAGGAAGATTATGAGATTCGAGAAGACAAAAATGAATTCCTTGAACTGACATTTTGTCACGAAGGACATAATAGTGAATGCACGCAAGAAAAGAGCTGCCTCTACGCCATCGTTTGGCAACGAGTGCACGAAAGAAAGAAAATATTACCACTTGTACAAGAACGCACACAAAATGAGACAAATTGTCGCAAATAGAGCTAATATGCTAATAGACAGTAGCATAAGAAAACCCATGCATGTTGTTTATTCTCGTTTTCTAAAAGAAATATCACTGTAAAGAAAAATACGGACTTGACAATCAGAAGATAAAAACAGATACTGGAATATGATAAACAATGTTGGTAAGAAAAATACCTTTTCAAAATATTGAGCATTACAAAAATGTTTTAAATATTTTAAAGAATAAAGAAGGTCAGTGGGTAGAGATAGAGACATCCGAAAAATCCCAGAAAAGGTGCAAGTGGCGGATGTTTTCAATAACTCTTGTCTGAATAATTCAACAACAGCAAATAAAAATGTTAAATTTTTTTTAACAATCCAAAAGATCGCACCCAGTCACATTATCATGACACCAGGCCAACCAGTCCCAACACTAACCTCTTAATGCTAAACTTCAAGCGCGGCAGCTGTTAGTACCATTTTTGTGCGTCTTTGGTATGACTCGGCCGGGAATCGAATCCACGACCTACCGCATCCGAGGCGGACGCTCTAACAACTAGACTACCGGTGCGGTCTAAATGAATCAATAAAAAGCTCAATTGTTGAAATGTTACACGCGTATGTCAAACTTTATAATAAAATTTTCAATACTGGCTTTGTACCAGATGGTTGGGATGAAGGTGTCATTGTGCCAATTAGTAAATGAAAGGTGATAGAACCGGTAAATCCACTTATAGACTTATTACTTTAGCTTTGGTCAAATTTACCGCTGGATTAAGGAACGGCTAATCCACAATAAACTCAAGCTGAATTTATGAATTGCTGATCCAAATTAGAAAATAATTCTCATTTGCAAAGACTTTTTGAATTGATTAGTCGTTGTAAAAGGAAACTTGTTTGTGCTTTAGTCGAGTTGAAAAGTGCCATTGTTAATATAGGGGCCGTTGGATTATGAGCTTACATTGTATTCGGAAAGCATCAGGGTAAAGTGTTTTAATGTTATAAGTATTTATAATGATATCAAAATCACATATCTGTGTAATATAGAATTTTCATGTGTATTTTCTCATGTAAAAACGGTGTAAGACAAGAGGAAAATTTACAATCATTATTGTTCTCCTTATTCCAAAATAATCTGGCACATGGAATCTTTTTTTTTTTTTTTACTAGTCAATGGGTGCAGCGGTTGCGATGCGATGTGCCCTCCAAACATGTTTACTCAGATTTGAGTTCAAAAGTTCAAAACATCGGTTTTCCCTTCTGAAATTCCTGGTCTACCTGTTATTTGATATGTACTTTATTAAAGTTTTAGAAAAACTGATCTTGTTTACCACTTAGAATATTATCGAACTTAACTTTTGACTATCATTCTGGTCCTCATATTATATCTGAGGTTTTTACGTAATGGAGAAATAAACAGAAATTCTTTATTCCTATCTGAACATCAGAAGTGGATCAGTCTTTACGTTGTGTTCAGTTTTAATTGGAGAAGATTTATTTATTTAAATTATTCATTAGAATTCCAAAGTGCTCTTTGACGTTAGGTCTAAATCACTATTTGTGGATTATTTTGAATTAATTTCGAGACGTATTGGATATATAATAATATAATGCTATCAATAATAGCGACATGGGATGAGTCTACCCTTTTTTCTTTAATATTTCAGTGACACGTGATACCAATTATAGTGACGTGGGATTAAACAGTCTACCCTTACTCCCATAATATTTCAGTGAAACGTGATAACAATTGTAGTGACCTGAGATTAAACAGTCTACCCTTACTCACCTAATATTTGACGGATACAGCAGACTACCTGTACTGGACAATAATAAAGCAATCGAAGAGTCTTTGAAGGGAGTGCTTACAGAGTGTCCTTTCATCCGTTTGACTGACCAAAGTTCACGACCGTTCTCTTGACCATTAAATTGTTTGTAACTGGACGTTACTGGAAACCAGTTAAACTCTAAAAAAAACAAAAAACACGTCATACAAGGACAACTGACAACGACCGCAGTTAAAATGGACACTACCCTTGTGTATCACGTTTGTTCAATCTTTCCAAATTTAGACAAAGAGAGGCCTTAAGCTATGGGAAGAGCAGCAGAGAGGGTGAACAAACAACTTTGCCTGAGACGTTTTTTTTTTTTTAAAAAAAAGGTTCTTGCAGAGGCTGAGAAAATAAAACGTCAATAACGCTAAACCAAAGTCTCTTTCCACACGATTATTTATTTAATCGTATAATAAAAATCTTTGGTTAGCTTACTTTTGTTGACGTATTTTTATGATTTTGTCAGGCGATTTTGTTTACAAGTAAAGCGACTCAATTGTTGTCCTTCACCCTCTCTGCTGCTCCTGACTTTGACAGGGGAGAATAACCAAATATTTTATCTAGACCAACACGATATCTTGATCTTGGATTATGTAGATTTATCGTTATAAATCCAAACGGAACAGATTGTGCTTTAGAAAAGAAATTTTTAAATTTATTCATATCCATGTCCCCAGAATATCAGGTATAATATATATTCTGCAGAGTATAATTATCTACTCCATTAAACACAACCAAAATATTACAGTTATCTCTGATCACCTTAGGTATTTGTGTATATCTTTGAGTAACATAAATCACATCTGTGTTTTTGTGTCTACCTCGAGAAAATATCCTAGCTGGATTAGATTGTTTGTCCAACATCACATCATCATATACTACGAGATTATTAATGAATCCATCTAAGTCATCTACAGACGGGGCTTCATCTATATCTGTGATAAAGTCAATAATATCGTTACCGTCTTTATTATCTGATTTTTGCTCTCTCGTTAAAATCCCTAAGTACTTCGTAACAATGCTGATCATCTACAGACGGTGCTATTAAGTATAGTTTGTTCCATCTCAACCACCTCATTAATAAATTTAACAATAATTGTGTTTTACCTGATCCAGATGGACCTATTATAATCATTCTTATAAAATTTGGTAATGCTGGATGGTGCTTCACTGGTTCCTGTTTTTGTGTAGCCGAAAAGTCAATTATTGTATCCATATTATTAATAACACGAGTCTATATTGTGTTCGATGTAGATCATCTACACCTACCACTGTATTGACAACAATAATAACGAAAAATAAACGACATGCATTAACAGATAAATGTGTAAAATGTGGTACACAAAATATAAATTTATCTCAGGGACAACAAAGACAGGTAGGGATATTGCTGCTTCTTTAGGAAAATTACCTGGATTACCATGGGCAAAGTACGCTGGTGAGAAACATCTTACTGGATATAATTACTGTAGTCCTGGAACTCGTCTCGATATCAAACTCGATAACCAAGATCGACCAAGACCAGGAGAGTATCCAGTAAATAAGATTGATCAAGCATGTCATGTTCATGACGTTGCTTATAAAAATCCTGATTTACAACAACGGCATCTCGCAGATGTGAAATTGATTCATGCATTAAATTATATACCTAATAAATCTGTTAGAGAGAAACTCGCCAGTTTTATAATAAAATCCGCTATGAAAGGTAAAATAATGATAGGGGCTGGTAATTAATTGTATAATTATTATAATGGAATCCATTTATTATAGCCCAAGAGGGTATTCGAAAGGTAAAGCAGCGATCACTAAACTTGCTGAGGCAGCAAAAGTTTCACATTCTGTTGCTGCAGCGTGGTTAGCACGACAGGCAATATGGCAATTTTTTACCACCATAAAAAAATTCAATACGCACATTTTGATGTCAGTGTTCCTAACGAAGTTCATCAAGCAGATATTTTGTTTTTACCACACGATACTATTAAAACACGTGGACGAAAGTCACGCACGTACAAATACGCATTGACTATTGTTAACGTTGCAAGTAGATATAAAGAAGCTGAACCATTATCAACAAAGACATCATCTGAAGTTGCATCTGCGTTCGAACGAATTTATCAGCGAGGATAAAATTTTACAATGGCCAAAACTACTACAGGCTGATCCTGGCAAAGAATTTCTTGGTGCAGTATCTTTGCTGATGAACAAGCACAACGTTAAAATCAGACAAGGACACACGGAGATTCATCGTGATCAGGCAATCGTTGAACGATTTATTCGAACACTTGCAGAGCGGTTATTCGGATATCAATATGTAAAGGAAATATCTGCTGACTTTAAGACAAAAGATAGATCTCGTGAATGGGCTGCGAGGTTATCAAATGTGATAGCTGCGCTGAATAAGTAAGTTACTCGTGCAACTTCTATAAAACCCTCTGATGCGATCACAAAAAATATATACCGATAAAACGTAAATCTATTTCTCAACCAGTACTAGGTAATGTTACGGTTAGATATTTATACGAACCTGAAGAACTCGAAGGAGGCAGAAAAAGGGCAACTGATCTTATTTGGAGTGTGACCACACACAAAATATCCAGCGTGGTAAGGTCCACAGGTAGACCTGCAATCTACAGATTAGATTCAACTGCTCCTTGTTTTAACATCATAATAATATCCACATCTATATCAAACTCGCGATTATTTTTTTAGTCACACTGCTTATAGCTGCGTGATTTTTTTTATTGATATCGACATTATTAATGATTTCTTCGGTTATTACGCAATCCATGATAACCCGTTTTAGTTGTGATATTCTTCTAACTCGAAATACTGCGAGATAAACTAAATTTGACCACTCAATACGATCATCGACTTTCCAAACTTTAGTGTCAGTGATAGTTAATCCCTGCGATGAATGAATCGTTATAGCGCACCCTAACGTCCATGGTGATTTATCCATGTTTAACGCGCTCTCGACAACATAAACAGCGACAAGGACAATATCATTTAACACAAGATTTTGTATTCGGACACTTTCAGTATCTGCAATATCTGCACTAGGAATCTTAACATCAACATTTTGTTGTCTAGTATCTGCAGGGCGATAACACAACGGTACAGGTAATTTTGGGAATTTTTCCTTGTGTAACGCATATAATTTCTTTTGTAGTTCGTCACGAACTATTTTTCTACTCGCAACTATCAAATCAGTAGGTTTCCATAGGGTCCAAAAATCATTAATGGATGTTTCTGGAATTATCTCTCGCATTACTTCACACTGTATTGTAATAATCTACATTGTTCTTTAGCCACTTATGTGGAGACTGTCCAACAAAGGGTGCTGGTTGACCATGATCGCCACACATATTCTCAGCAGTATTCTTTAGTAACAGCCAATCAGGAAATATTTGTAATACTTCCAGAGGCACCGTGCATATCTCGTCCCATATGATAATTTTAGGTATATATTTTTCACCCATTCGTGATGGGGTCCATGTATCTCCGCACCACCTAAAGAAACTATGATATGTACACGACTTTAAATTTCGTTGCTTTATTTCCCTGGCGAGTTTGTGCGTTGGTGTCAAGACAATCATATCTAAACTCATAAATAAGTTAATCGCGCGTGTTGTTTTACCTGAACCTCCACATCCATTAAGATAAACGCTCTTATGTCTAGATACAGGATCATACACGGATGGCGCAGATGATTTTGATACTTGATTATTTCTGTAATATGTTTC